AGAACGACTAAGGATGGACTCCACATCTGCGAGAAGCCGAGGAACAATTCCACCATCCACATTGACTGGTAAACCAAACTTAGGACAAAAGGACAAACCACTTTTTGTTATCTCTGACTAAGTTGTTAAATTGAAGGCTACTAGATAGAGCGAGATTTAACTTTCTCACATTTCGATTTCTGATGAGATTGAACTGTTTACTGTAAGTAACAGCAAGGCGGTCTTTTAACTCTTTAAAAACCAAATTAGGTAACTTATCCTGAATGGATAAGTGTAAACTATTAATCTGAAGTGATAAATGTTTTAGGGTAACATATGTGTTCGCGATCTCCAAATTAATATTGTGAGAAATATCCATGTTGCAAGTAAAAATGAAATTTGAATATGGAAATAAAACGAAATATGTGAACTTCGCACTTGCAGAATTATTTAATTTTCATCGGGACCGGTTTCGAAGTTTACAACTTCATCCTCAGCCGAAAATTATATAGAAGTGAGAAATATTGTAATTAATCTATCTTATAAAATATAAAAAATACAAAAATATATAAATAGAAACAAACAAAATACTCACTCATTCAAATAAACAATTTTAAATCTTATATAATATCCAGAAAAGTATCGTTAAATTTATAAAAAACCAATATGGAGGAGATATGAAACGTGATGCGTATAATAAAGTTATAATAAAATCTAAAAAATAATGAAGTAAATTAATTAAACTTAAACTATCACAAAAACAACTTACAATACAAAAACTATGGTTGAATATAAAGAAAATTTTTCATGAAAACGAAACAAATGAGGTATCACAAAACAGACGTGACCATCTTGGCGGAGCGAGAAGAAGAGACTGGTGACCGAAAACCAGATATAAAAGAACGCAATAAAACCGGAAACAACAAAAAATTAAATTTTTAAATTGAAATCAATCAAATATGAAAAAATAGGTTTACGGAAGAGTTGAAGTTGTTCATTCAGGAGTTGAAAATTATTATTATTTTATGTTTTGTAATTTCTAAAATTTCAAGAAAATCTAGTTTAGTGCCTTTGTTGCGTGAATGTAAAAGTTCAACTCCTCCATAATCTATATTATGACCAGTTTCTATGTGGTGTTTGAAGATATTAGAATTTGTGTTAGTTTTATGTTCCCAGATTCTGGTCTCCAGCCTCCTCCCCGTTTGTCCGATATATGTATATACTCTCACAGTTAAAGCATCTGACAAGGTATACGCCGCTCTCATCAAAAGTATTGAAAACTTTTTTAGTGTGATTAGTTAATAAATTTAAAATAGTATTACGGTTTGAAAAAGCTATTTTAATATTGTAATTAGAAAATATTTTGTGAAATTTGGCTGTTAAGGCATTAAATTGTAGAGGTTTATAAATTAAAGAATCAGTGATATGTTTTGTGAATAAAGGATCTTTTTGTATACGTATCTTATTAATCAAATGAGTGATCTTACCAATGGGAAAACCATTATCAAGGGCTAAATTAATAATGAAATCAAATTCTTTAATCCTGTTACTTTCAGAGAGAGGGTAATCGAAAATTCTATTAATGAGAAAACGAAAGTTAGCAAACTTATGTTGATTAGGATGTGATGAAGTGTATGGAATGGTGGTAGAAATAGAGGAAGGTTTTCTATAGATATCATATTCAATGTACCCATTATCATTTTTAATTAAGGTTAGATCTAAAAAGTTGATAGTATTGTTTTTTTCCATCTCTATAGTAAATTTAAGGTTGTTATGTAAATTATTGATGTAAGAATGAAAATCATTAAGTTCATTAATATCCACACACAAAAAACGTCATCAACATATCTGTTCCAAGAAATAATATGTCTGTAAAAAGGATTAATTTGGTTAATGATATAGTTATTTTCAATATTATCTAGAAAAATTTCAGCCAAGAGGCCCGACAATGGCATCCCCATTGGGAGACCATCTGAGAGTGAATAAAATTCATTATTAAAGCAGCAGTAATTTTGTGAAACAATATGTTAAAAAATAGATAAAAATTTAGATAGTATTAAAATCTGTAATATTATTTTTGTTATCAAAATTTGAATCAAATAAATTAGAAACTATTGCGAGGGTGTAATCAAGTGGGACACTTGGGTAAAGATTAGTTACATCAAAAGATACTAGCAAACAATTATTAATACTAACATTTTTGGTTAGATTTATGAACTGATTTGTTTAAAAATATTAGACATAAAATTGATAAGTTTTTGTGAAGGTGAATTTCCAAAATTAGTAATAGACCTGATGGGCATACCTTCCTTATGTAATTTTGGTAAGGAGTAAATTGACGGTAAATTGGGCTTGATATCCATAAAGTAAGTAGTTTGAAATTTTCTATCCGTATTACTGAAATATGGCGTATACCTAGTCATTTTAGTCTATTTAAATAATTCTGCACGTGCGGAGTTCACATATTTCGTTTTATTTTCATATTCAAAATCCAAATTAATAAACCTTATTCCTAACCTTCGTAAGGTCGAATTGACCTGCTGCGTTATTCGTCTAGATGATCCATCGATGAGGTTATATAGTATTTGCTTCAATTATCCTCATATAGATAATGTTCCTAAAATTTTAGAAAACAACAGAGGGAAAAGCAAATTTACGGCGTTATACACATCGTGCATTATTTTATTACAGTTTATTATTTTTAAGGCCTAGTCACACTATCGATCAACGACCGGTCAAGTCACGTCAAGTCAACGTATGCATTTCACGGCAATGTATTCACACATGCGGTCTTTTTGCGGTCATGTGACCGCAGCGATCAATGCATATGTTCAGTAGGAAAGAAATTTTGCTTTGACCGTGATCGTTCCGTGACTTGACCAATCGTTGATCGATACTGTGAATTGGCCTTTATGTTAACGGCCTTTCGCAGCGAATTAAAAAAAATTACTGTAGTGTTTGACGATTTTTCAAGTGTTGAAGACGAACAATTTTATTCATTTAGTATCTCAGCATGTTGAGATATTTGATGCGAAGAATAAAAATTATATTAACACGACTAAAAAAGAATTTATTTGGCAGGAAATTGCGAAACAATTAAATAAAAGTGGTAAGTATTTTAAAAGTAATATATTTTTTGCTATTGAAATGTCGACTATTACAAATTATAAAAATTATCTGTCCTGCCAGCTTACAGCACCTTCTCCTGTAAAGTAATCTGTAAATCTACTTCGTACTTGAAACCCCTCTGCACAAGCAAATCCCCCTGTTCCTTTCAGAGGAATCATATTGTCCGTCGGAAGAGAGAAAAGGTTTTATTCTAAATTTGTTTTTTTCGGATTATTTAGTATGTATTCGGTACGCAACATGTTATGTAGACAACAACAGGTAAGAACAATCAGATCAACAGTAGTGGGTTTCACATTTATAGGAGAAAAGAATATTCTAAATACATGACAAAGTATACCAAAAGCATTTTCTGTGACCCTTCTAGCCCGAGACAGTCGGTAATTAAAAATTGTTTTCTTTGGATCCTCGAAAATTTGCTTTTTTGGGTAAGGTTTCATTACATGTTTATCTAACTTAAATGCATCATCTCCAAGAATCACATACGGTAGAATAGTGTTTTTGGAACGGGGAAGTAACGCAGGTAAGGGGAAATTGAACTTATCGCCGTAAATTTGTTTCCCAATCTTAGATTTGGCAAAAATTCCTGCGTCACCTTCTTTTCCATATGATCCAATGTCTACGTATAGGAACTTGTAATTAGCATCAACAAGAGCCAACAGCACTATGGAAAAATAGTTTTTATAATTAAAAAAAAGTGAGCCGCTGTTATCTGGAGCCATAACTCGCACATGTTTTCCGTCAATGCCAGCTATAACGTTGTTACAAAACTCTTCAATTAACAAGAACCAATCAATTCCCCGAACCGATAATTAACAAAATGATACACAAACAAAAACAACAATATACACTAAACAATACTTTTAAACTAAAACCAATAGAACAGAAAAATAACTTTCCCTATTGTCAATCCATACAATATCCCGGACATATAGCCTCCAAAATAAAAAACATATTTGCAAGAAATAACATTCAAATCTAACAACACCCTATCAAAGATACTGATCAACAATAAACACACATTCAATAAATTAGAAAAAAGTGGAGTTTACAAATTGGCATGCAACAACACCTGTGCAGCGACATATATAGGAGAAACTGGAAGAACATTAAAGACACGTATCAAAGAACACAAAACCAGAAATGAATCGAAATTTGGAAACCACCATACACAACGTATACCATGAATTTGACGAACAAAACAATGCACAGATTTTACATAATATTAACAAAGGCAAACTAATGGAACTACTAGAGGCATATGAAATAAAGAAATTTATCCAATGCCTAATGAAATACACAATGCCTAAATGAACAATTACAAAATAACAATAGACCTCTATATAGTTTTTTAAAAACCCCATTCACACCACCCAACAGACAAATGAACGAGAGAAACAAGACAAAGTAGCACCTTGTATTCTGCAACTTTTGTCTTCCTTGGCTACAATCCCATCCTAAGCCCATACATATCCTACCCTATATCCTTCTAACCTACCACAAATATAACAAAAAAGAAAATAATAAGTAAAATGAACAACTACATATATAAAGAAAGAAAATAACAAATAACAACACAATAATAGGAAACAAAGAATAAATGAACGAGAGAACCAAAGCAAATAACACCTTAACCCTACAACATTATCTTCCCTTTAAGCTACACTCCCATCATAACCTACACAAATCATAACAAACAACCTACACCCTTTCATAACATACCTACAATAATAAAATAAAAAATAGAACACGAGTGATGATAGAGAAATAATTCGAGGGTCTCATAAAAAGAAAATTTTAAAAGATTTAAAAAAATTGAAAATTAAATTTCAAATTCAAATTCCAAACATAAAAACAACAAATAATGCAAGGTCAATAATACCAACCAAACACGAAGTGTCACAGTCCTCCATTAATGAACACGCCACAACAACGAAAAATTAAAGAAATTTATAAATAATCGATAAACATCAGTAACAACAAATGAAAAAAACGGAACAAGGTGGAAATTTATTCATAAAAATAGACGTAAGTTAGCTTAGTTTTGTTATATTTAGGATAATTAACCATTTAGGAACAAAATTTAACAACATAACCTTAAATAATTTAAAAAACGTGGTTAAAATATTAATGATAAACATTTATAATTGTAACAGGATTTCTTCCTGATGATGAGGGCTCAGATTCCTCGAAACATGTAGAAAGACAAAGAAAAATAAATGACATCGATAAGTACAAAGAAAATAATTTGACCTCATATCCATTACTCACGATGTTAAGAAGAGTTAACAACAATTACAATTGATCATTTAGGTCCAATGGCGAAAACTTATAAAAACTATAAATATTTGTTTGTCATCATCGACGCTTTCACAAAATTTATATGGATTTACCCGACGAAGACTACCTAGAATTACAACTAAAGAACATAATTTAAGAAGAATACATGCAATAATTCAGTGAAGAACGTGAGAGGATGATAAAAGAAGCCAATGACCAGACAATGAAGGTGCTAGAAGAAAACAGACGGAACTATAACAAGAAACGAAAAACCACTATATACAATATGGGCGATCTCGTAGCCATCAAGAGAACACAGTTTCAAACATACATAGAATCAATAACAGCATACATAAGGAAATGTGAAATTTGTAACAAACATAAATATGATAGGAAACAACATCATCCGACATTAAATTTAACGGATAAAGTAGATACACATTTTGAAAAAATTATATAGATTTATTTAATTCTAAAAACAAATGTTTATAACGTTAATAGATGCATTTTCTAAATTTGGCCAAGCAATACCGATAAATAATAAAATTGCAGTTGATACTGCATAAATGCATTACTTTTGTATTTTAGCATGTATGGAGTTCCAAACGAAATAGTTTGTGATCCTGGTGCTGAATTTACAAATAGTATAGTTAAAGAGCTACTAGAGAAACATGAAATAAAATTGCACATGGGTACACCTCGAAATACAAATTCCAATAGTTTAATAGAACAAATGAATTCTACAATTTTAGAACACCTGAGTATTTTACACGAAATTAATAAAGCAAGTGTTGCATATAACAGTTCAATACATTCAACGACCAATTTTACTCCTATTCAACTACTGTTTGGTCACACTAGGTCGAAAAAATTATTTGATATGTATAACGATCAAAGATTTTATAACGATTATGTAGAAAAACACAGAAATTCTAGTCTAAAGATGTTATACCACAAAATCAGCCCAGAAACTCAAACCAAAAAACAAAACATAATAGAACAGGGAAATGAACACCTAAAAAAACGTAAATTTAAATGTAGGTCAAGAGGTGTATATTAAAATTAACGCCCCAAAAAGGATAGGAAAATTGTCTAAACTTTTTGAAGGTCCTTTTAAAATTTCAAAGATAAATGATAACAATACCGTAGTGGTGTTTAATGATAAGAATAAAGAAAGAAAATGTCATGTAAAAACCTTAAAGTAGCGCATATTAGGGATGCCTAATACACAGCGAAGTGAAGATCACTGAAGTCAAGGATAAGATATAATTGATATGTTCCTGATTAAAGGAATATTGGAAGAAGCAATCACATTAAAAAAAGGACGTAAAATTATTTGTAAAATGTCGTTAAATTTTATTATATTAGGCACATTCTTAAATCGATTACTGGCAATTTAGACAACGAAGATGCTCAAAGGTATGACCAAGCAATCAGCGATTTAATTAAGAATCAAAAAACTACAAAGGAAATTTTAAATCAGCAAATACTACTAGTTGAAAACACCATTCATGAGTTTAATAATACCGTACGATCTATTCATAATAATCAACGTTATCATAACGCACAGGTGATATATGTGACATACGAACAACTACCGTATTTTCTCGAATCTTATCCGCACTCGAATCTAATCCGCACCCCGATTTTAAAAATGCAATGATGGTAAAAAAAGTTGGTTTTCCAATATAATCCACATTCGATTGTAATCCGCATTTGATTTTAGAGCATACAAAATTTGTAAAAAGGGTGCGGATTAGATTCGAGAAAATACGGTATATTGATTATTGAAGCTTTGAATCAGCAATTAGAAGTCATAAACGCTATTACATTCGCTATTAAAGGAACCCTGTATCCATCCATTATAAAACCAAAAACTTGAGTAACCCTACAGTGCGCATTTATGCAAATATGCATCAACCAAATAATTGGTTAGTAAATATATCTGTAGAAAATGTAAATCAAAAAACAATTTTTCTATTATTTTTTTCTAAATTCCTCATATATTTGGAAGCTATTTTGATTTTTGCACTTTAAAAGAAAAACATGCGCACTGTAGGGTTTTAAAAACATTACGTCAAATACCCTTAAATCCTGATGAGAAATTCCCTTTTGAAATTTCATTGCATAGTTTTTATTTAATTGATTCATTAGTGAATGTAAAATCATATGTTACACCAGAAAGAATTGTCTTTATTATTTCTGTTCCGATAATTTCATACGACAATACCAATACTACCATCTCCATCCTTTGCCTATATTGAAGGCTTTTTTCAAATTATTCCAGAAATGCCATATGTAGCGATAAGTAATGAGAAGAAATCGACATGTTCCATTGCATCAACGTTTCTGATATTTAGCTTATATGGGAGGTTCATACCGATCTTTCGATCTAAAGTATTTGAAGATGGTGGCCACTTCCGATCCCCCGGAAGTAGACCTCAACTTCGTTATTTTAAATGGAATGCTATAGTTTTTATTGTCCCTTTTAATTGTATGCGAAAAAATATGTTGACTTTGATAAAAGTTGTTGGTACCTAGCATTTTTCGTTTTCGCCTTATTTTGATTTTAAGTTTTTGTTTAGTAAATTTCACCATGCTTTTAAAACCCCATAGCTCAGCCAATATTTATTCAAGAAATCTCTAACTTGGTAAGATTACTCTTCAAATGATATCAAATAGTCAGTTATCAAATAGTTCGTTTTCGATGCGGTTGTGCGGTACGGACGTCGTTTTCCGTACTCTGCATTTCGAAATTGTTTTTCGGATGTTTTCGGTTCTAATTGAGATAATATCTAATCGCGATATATAGTTTTTAGTACTGCTCGTGATTTGTTCAAGTTTTTTTTGGAAATTAGTTGCTGATTTCCACAGTATTTTCAATCTTTATTTCCTTAATTCACCGCCGTTCATCGTCTTCCTGCTGGAGGCACTCCGGCCTACAACTCTGCTCAATCTAAAGATCGTAAGCCCAAGAACATTGTTGTCAGGTTCTTGTGGAGAATGATTCGTGGTCGTTTCTTGGGGCCTGCAAAAATTAAACATCGAGCCGGTACGGATGGCGCTGACGGTTCAAAAGCGTTGAGGGGTATTGCGGGGGCGAGTTTGGGGAGCGGTATATATGTTAACGAGCACTTAACTTCGGAAATGCAAAACTTCTTCGCGAGGTGAAATTGGTGGCGGCGTAAGTCCGAACGATCTCATGTTGTGATCATCCGATCACCGCGCGATCTAAATAAACTGTAGTTCCGTTTCTTTACGGTGTAGCGCTCGAAACTAGTGTTTCTGCGGATTTTTGTTTTTTCAATGGCTACCACAGTTTATTATCAGAATGTAAATGGTTTGCGGTCAAAGACTGCAATGGAGGAATCTGCTGGAGTAACAAAATGTCTTCGAGCGTCGTCGGCTCCTGGTTTTAACTCCGACGCGAAAGATGTGTGGGTGAGGGTTGAGTGTGAGATTGGTTGTGTTTTTGTTTGCTGTGTCTACTTGCCCCACGGGGATCCGGAATCTATTTCGGTCTTTTTACGTAAAGTGTCATCGATTCGGGATGCGTACCCTGATAATTTAATCTTAATTGTTGGTGATTTTAATTTACCCAATATCGTATGGTACCGTTCGGACGATGGGAATTTGGTACCATCTGGTGGTAGTGATCTACGCTCCGGAGAGTTTTTGGCAACGTATCGATATTGTAATTTACTGCAATTTAATGATATTAGTAATGATAATCTCAAAATTTTAGATCTGATTCTAAGTAGCACAATCTGTATACCGGAAGTTAAATCGAGTCCAGATCCTCTCGTCGGCCTGGATCGCCATCACCCCGCAGTCGAGTTTCTTGTTAACGGCGCTCGACCCAAAGTAGATAATGCGGTTAGTGTATTTTATAGTACCATTTACGACCTATTGATGCTCACGTTCCGCATCGGCAGCTACCTAAACGCATATTTCCGATCTGGTACTCTGCATCCACGGTGAGAGCTATCCGCAAATAGCTTAGATTCCATCGTAGATGGAAGATTTATGGTGATAGGGCTGATTCACGATTTTACGTAACCGTATCAGAACCCTCAATAAATCGGATTACGATAACTACATTAAGTCAATTCAATCTCAGCTGATTGAGTGTCCGGATCGCTTGTGGTCCTTCGTTAAACATCGGAGGGCGGATGCGCCGGTATTCCAGCTACCATGAAGTTTATGTAGGTACATGTGGTGTTCATGCCGACATTTCTCAGGATATTTGTTGTTTATTCGCCCTGTACTTTAATTCTGTTTTCATTGATGGTACCCCTCCGTTACTTCGCGTGTTATGCACATTGGGGGTTTTGCGCCCTGGTTTGGTGAGGAGGATGTTTTGCGTGCTCTTAATGAAGTAGATGCGAAGGCTGGAGCTGGTCCGGATAAACTGCCGGGTTGTTTTATTAAAAACTGTGCTACCGGTTTAGCAAAGCCCCTATTTCTTATATTCTCCTTATACTTACGCTCCGGTGCATTCCCCAGTGAATGGCGGAGAGCATTTGTATTCCCTGTATTCAAGTCTGGTGACCGTTGCGACGTATCGCTCTATTTCCTGTTTGTCTTTACCTTCAAAAATTTTTGAAAAAATAAATTACCCTAAATTATTATATATTCTGAAGCCTTTCATGATCGTTAAGCAGCATTCTGCCAGCTTTCTGCCTGGTAGATCGGTCGAGACCAATTTAATAACCTATACCAATTTTATTCATCGTGCTTTCGACCGATCTTGCCAGGTGGACGCTATCTTCACCGATTTTAGTAAGACCGATAAAATCGATCACAACATCTTAATAAGAAAGTTGTCACTGCTTGACATTCCTCCGGGTCTTTTAGCGTGGTTGGGTACCGGTCAGTGACCGTTACCAGGTGATTCGAATTGGCAATTGTCTCTGCTTATCAA